CGGGACAACGATCAGCGCAGGATCGCGGCTTCGCCACTCTTATGCGACGGCGTCTTCGGTTTCCGCTCTCTGCAGCTTCCACCGGGACGCTAGCCGTGCCTAATTGTGCTAGCTTTGAGCACCACACTTCATAGGGTTCACAGCGCCCGAGCGAAAGCTCGCGCAAAAGAACCGGCGAGCAGTCGAGTCGTTTCCAATCGACGGGGTGGCTAAACGCCGGTTGTGTGAATCGGGCTTAACGCCTGAGCCGGCTTGCTCAAAGCAAATCTAACGTTCTTGAATGTCATGTAATAAAAATCTGAGACGTGCTACATTCTATACAAACTTGATAAAAAAAAATCAAACACTCACCTTCGGCTGCTACGTCCGCCGTACCGCTTCAAGGCAGAAGCAACATGGCGCTCGACGTTTTGGGGTGTTGGGCTGGGGTGTTTTCAGTGTTGCTTACACGCCTAGTCGTGTAAACCGAAACCGAAACACCAATTTTTACTACCCCAAGTAATTTTTTGACGATTTATCACTAGCAGAGCGTGTAAAAATATGCTAACGAGTGAAAATGGGGTGTAAACAGGCGAAATATTACATTTTCGCTAACAGTGTACTTTCTACCGGAATTTAGCGGGTATACTTCCTGCTAAATTAAGAGGAGAAATATCGACGACACATTACCTACCGTCGTGATGTCAAGTTACGTGACACCGTGACATTACGCCCCGTGACCACGTCATGTCAGCTTAGGTGACACCACGAACTCTAGCTGTTACGTCAATTTCCCCACTAATGTTTTGGAGGAACATGTATGTGCCGCGACACCAACAGGCCGTGTGATATGGCGACGGCACGCACACGGCCTGTTGAAGCTTAAGCGAGTTGGCGATTTATACTACCAGCAAAAACGCAAAAAAGAAAAGGACAAAAAGAAGAGACAAGTGACGAAGAAGTGCTCTGTGTGTGTGAGTTTCCTCCTTTGCTTTTACAGCGAAGCTGTTATACGGTAGGGTCTGAGAAAAATGCGTCCTCACATGTCGACAAAAAACTAACTCCCCGTTGGTCGTGGCAAGTATGAATAAATAAAAAAAAGAGGGGACAACCAGCGTGAGTCAGCCTTCCTTGGCATTATTAGATAGTGAGGTCTTGATCCCTTGTTATCATTTCTAGGCATCGCCCTCGAGGTTGTCCTAGAAGTCGCCTTTGAGGTCGTCCTTGAGGTCTTTTTAGACGTCGTTTTCTGGTCGTCGTCCTCGAGGCGTCCTACTCTAGGCATTGTCCTAGATGCCGTCAAGATAACAGCTTCGCTGGTCCTCCATCTTCACGCGAAGTGCAAGAGCTCCACAATTTTTTCTGTGTTTTTATCCTCGTCTGTTCGCGCTTTGCAACTGTTGGGCTTTTGGGGTCAGATCTGGCCGAACCCTGACTGCCTCCCAGGAAGTCACCCATCAACAAAAAGATGCGGCAAAAGATATTTTACTTGCTAAGGAAAGAAACGATTTATTTTAAAACCGCAAGAAAAGACAAAGACGAGAGAGACGACAGCGCTGCGCTGTCGCCTGTCTCTTCTTTACTTTGTCCTTGTCTTTTCCTGCTGTTGTAAACCAAGGCGCTCATCAACCAATCAACCCCAACATACCTTTTAGAGAAACGACTCAGGATGACCTCCTCTCTCTAGCCGGAAGCGAACTGACCTCTAGCGTTGCTCCCACATGCTCTCGTCGCCCCCCTTGTCGTCTTTCTCCCCATTTTTTTTTTTTCGTCTCTACACTTCTATAAAAAGAAAAAAAAACGTTGGAGAGTTCTCTATAAATTTATCGCTTTAAAGAGCAGGACGCAAATCGTTTCCGGCCGATGGTGAACGGAAACAAGAAAAGTCCCGTTCCCCACGAAACGGGAGATGTCCTTCTGCACAAACCATTGGAAACAAGACGCTTTCAGACACCAAACATCTTCCTCACCCTACGAGCGCGTACTCCCATGTTCCCAGCGTGGCCGAGTTCTTCTGGGCAAAGAAGAGCAGGCTCACGCACATGTAGATTATGGCGCCGTCCATGTTGAAGGTGACGCCCACAGGGGCAAGGAGCCTCACCAGGTGAGGGTCCAGTCCCAGCCCGTCTTCAAGAGCCGTTATCGTCGCCGGTAGGGTGGACGCACTACAAACGAACTTTGTTTTAGTACAGAATGTGTTTATGGGCTAAATTTTAAGCGAAAAGTGTCACGCTCGATTGTGACGAAGAAGCGTCATACACCTGCCAAGGCAACATAAAGCTCAAACAGCCCATAGTATGTTGTGCATAAGTGTCATAAGACAAGGAATTTATAATTAGTTCTGCATGCTCTTAATAGACCGATCTCACCAGCCAGTTTGACTACGTCATCGCTGCCGCAATGCATCGAAGGAACCTTGGTCTTTCTGCACATGCGACAACCTCGCTGGAGCTCTGCGCGTGTAGAGCTCGAGAATTAAGGCACGAGCCCTCGCGTGCACGGCCGTCTGTCTCGTGTGAACCATACATGGGTAAATTATTTCCAAAGGGTAATTTAATTACAATTACAATTACTTTGCTTCAAAAGTAGTTTAACTACAATTACAATTACTACTATGTCGACAGTAATTAATAACAAGTACAAATTACTTTTAAAAAGTAATGAAATTACATTACAATTACTTATTTCATAGAGCGACCCAACTTGAGCCATATGACCTTAAACGAGTTGTATAGAATGCAACGTATTTGTTCATACCTTATTCAAATGTTCACGTATTGTACTTTCTTTTTATGAATTTTGTTAAATTCATGATGGAACTTGACAGTGTGGGGAAATGAAGTACTAGGTTCTTATATTTTGAATAAATAATAATGAATTAGTTGATACGCTCAAGATGCCAAATCGCTAAAGAACAAATTGCGTTGACAAACCTTAGTTAGCCAGGCAAATAAAAATGTGTCAATTAGTCATATAGGAATATTTTACATGTGTTAATATAAAAGTAAAGTTCACATGCGCTAATACGACCACATTCACATACAAATATCATGGTATTGTAAATTATTTACATTGAGTTGAGCTCATAATGGCTCAGAAATATATAAGTACCGAATCGGGGCCCCCGATCATTGATGACAATATTCACTGGTGCGAGGTCAGTCTCCAAAGCGCTCATGCAAATACTATCCGAAGGAAAACCTATATGAAAAAACTTGAAAATATTACAAAGATAAGATATGTGAAGTACTGAAAGAGGGACGAAAAAAAAACTGGCAAAAAAGAAAGAAAAATAACTTTACAGACAATTAAATTTCCCAACCTCGGCTGAAATCTGGAGCTCAATCTTTTTCTTTTACTATTTTGGCATGCTTAGGCTAATATCTTCTGCTCGCACCGCAGACGGCGCTACACGGCGCTGTTGAGGGAGGCTCCAAAGAGGATTGCCTCTCACCCCGCAGTGTAAGCAAAAAAACCACAAACAATGCGACGCTATTTATGTTGTGCGTGTGTGTGAGTTTGTGTCTGTGTGTTTCACCGAGACCTAGGCCGCTTGCGCGAACGCTTTCAGAGAGGTTCCGTCGGCGCCGCAAAGTTTTGCGAAAGTAATTGTAATTCTACTTAAAATTTTGCAATTACTGACCATAGAAAGTAATTAAATTTCAATCACAATTCGTTTCAGCCAAAAGTAATTATTTACAATTACAAATTACCAAAGAAGGTAATTAAATTACATTAATTGAATTACTACCCAAGTATGCTGTGAACTAAAGTTATCGCGGCGTCACGCATGCGCCCAACACTAACCGCTCACTCACACTGGAAGCGGATCCGCTTTTGCAAAGCGGTTCCGAACGCGGTTGTATAAAGATCCAGTACAATGTCACGCGCACTCGGTGTCATCGAGTGCGTGTACAATTGTACTGGATCTTTATAAATCGCGTTCGCAACCCCTTTGCGAACGCGGATCCGCTTTCAGTGTGAATGAGCGGTGAGTGAGATTGGTCTATTACGCGAATTTAATTGTGTAACAAGTGACATATACCAAGCGGCTCAGTGAGAATCGAACCCCGGACTGCGCGATCCACATCACGACGCCGTTGCTTGGCGCCACGAAAGGAGGACGAAACGTAACTCACAAAAGACTGCGCAAACCGGTGGACGTCGGCGCGTGCATTCGGCTCACGTGTGGTGAGGCGCAGCTCCCCACCTTATACCATACCGCCGCGCGCGCAGCTGCCAAGTAGGCAGCGCGGCCGTGGCCTAACAGTTATCAGGTCTGTTCGATTCGCCTGAACTGGCTGAACTAGTTCAGCAGTGCAAGAACTGGCGCATTCGATTCAACCGGAAATTGCACGACCGCTGCACTGGCGCGTTCGATTCATCCTAGTTCTGAACGAGTTCAGTCCCAGTTCCGGAAATGCTTGCACCGGCTCCGAAGCCAGTTCAGCGTTCGTGCAGTAGCAGACGACGAAAGCAGACGACTCTTCTCTTTCTTGCTCGCTGTGCTCGGTCATTAAAGCATGTTTGTTATACACAACAACCTAGAAACGGAAGTCTTCCCACTTGTGGACGAAAATGGTGTACCCGTAGTGGACGGAAGCGGGATGGTGTACGTTACCGAAGGTAGGAATAAGCTCGAATTAAATACGTTAAAAATCGTAAGAGGGCTGCGTCGGCTTGCTTACGCAGCCTTGCTTACGTTTCGTGAATGACTTGCTTAAGCCAGTCATTCACCTCGCGATTATACATCGATGTTTACAATGTTCGCATTCTATTCTTTAAGACGGAGAACGAGTTACGCTCGTCTTTGCCTCTGAGCCGGACGCAGACCCAACTGTCCTGCAGCCTGCGCGTCCACCCACAACGGACGTCGACGGGCAGCTGTGGAGTGCCGCGAAGACGAAGTTGTTTATCGGCTGTTATAAGGAACTAAAAGAGCGTCTGAAAGCAAAGGGGGGTTTCAGGTATGTCTTTGTCAGGATATATTTTATAATACATGCTAATACGTAGTAAACATCATGTTTAGGACCAAACGAGCCCTTTGGCACAAGCTGGCCGACACCGTCGTCGGAGAGTTCGGCGGCGTTGTCACCGCTGACCAGGCCGAAAACAAATGGAAGTCCTTGGAGAGAGCGTACAAGAACGCCAAATCAAAAAACAACAAGTCGGGCCACTCTAGGGTGCATTTTGAATACGAGGAGTACGTACGTTCACTAATTTTTTTATATAGGTCATCACTTGTAAACGTGCTGTTTCTGTGGTTTAGCGAGCTTCATGACATCCTCGAGAAAGAGCACCATATTTCACCAACTGTGTTGTTGGCGCCGGGAAGAGTGCTTGAAAAGGAAGGAGACACCAGGTAAGTACTTAAGAAACGTACAATGAACGTAACATAAAAAAAAAAAAAAATGTTTCAGCGCCGAGGTTGAAACCTCCCGAGGAACAGAGGCAGGACCCTCCTCCCTTGCCTTAGGGGTGGCTCCGCCCTCAAACCAGCGTGCTCCGGCCGGTACACCGAGCAAGAGAAAGAGGGAAACCGCCCTGGGCTCGCTGCTCAAGGTGTTCGCCGACATGGAGGAGAGTCGCAAGAAACGACATAAGGACCGGATGGCTCTTCTCGAGCGCCTGGTGACTGCAATCGAAAAGAGCGCGCCGGCACAGTAGACGTGCTTCATGCACCTCAATGAACTTGATTACAGTTTCACTGTTTCGCAGGCCGTTTTATTTATTCTTTTGTTATTATTTTGACTGGTGCACAGTTGTGCCGTACGAATAAATTCGTTCAAATTGTCTTGCTGATTTTGTTTGCCACTCCTCTGTAGTCCCCCGATTCATTCTTAGTTTTTACAATTATTTCCGAGTTTTGCAGCATGTATTTTTTTTACCGCCATATCTAGTTTTTTTTTGTTTTTTTATTTTAGGTTTTGTTGATTGTTAGGTTGAAAATAGCTTTGGGAACATTGTTACGTTTTAGGAGTCACTGGCACTGACTACCTGTGCATGCCCGCATATATGTATTCTGGTATACGAACGTACTAGGATATTGGATCAAAATAATACTGTACGCAGAAATGAAGGAACGAAGTAACCCGTTACTTTGTTTAATCGTGTTTTCATGAAGTCGGTACGCTTCATTTTCCAAAGCTCAAGTACCATCTTTGTATGTTCACACACACACACACACACACACACACACACACACACACACAAAATAAAAAAAAGAATATTTTTGGAGGATCAGGTGTAGATATCGCTTCCTAACATTCGGTCTTAGCAATGGCCTCTCGGATCCGCTCGGAGAGACTCCTTGTGGCGTCGTCCGGTTGGATCGCGTGGTCGTCGTCGTTGGTGACTTGGTCAGGCGGGCGGGCGTTGTTCAGGTCGTCGAAAAAGTCTCTCTCTGCATTACAGAGGTTGTGGAGAACGCAGGCGCCCATAACGACAAGGCAGCACTGTCTGATGCTGGCGCTGTCGACCAAGTACATTCTCCAAAATCGCTGCTTGAACAGCCCGAAAGTATTTTCGATTGTCACTCTCTGTTGACCGTGCTTCGTGTTATACGTAGTCTTCCAGGACGGCAGGGCCGCTTTTGAAGACTTGAAGGGGGTCATGACGCATGGCAGCAGGGGATAAGCCGAATCCCCCAGCAGGTACCCACTCGCACACTTGGCTTCCGCGTCCTCGAAGATGGGGCTCTCCTTCAGGATGCGGGCGTCGTGCGCTGAACCGGGGAACCCGATGTAGACGTCGATGAATTGATTTTGATCATCGCAGATACCCTGCAGACCAATGGAATGAAACTTGCTCCGATTGTAGTAGGAGTTCGGAGACTCTGTTGGTCGCAGGATTTCTACATGGCATCCATCAATCGCCCCGATCGTTTTGTGGGGCCCTTTCCCCTTAGTCTTCCTCAGGAAGCCGGCTTGGCTCCTCCGACGTCTTTCCTGGTCAGGCCAGGTGATTATTTGTGCGCTGATACTGTTCAGAAAGTTCAAAACTCTTTCAATGCAGAGGTGAACGGACGACTCCGTTATATCAAAGCGATCCGCAATCTGGTACATTGTGGCTCTCGTGCCTACGTAACTAAGCACAATCAGCAATGTCTTCTCCGCCGAATTCTGCGGTCGTCCACCAACGGAATCCGGGTAAAACGCCGAAGCTTCATATCCACCAGCCAGCTCCGCGTGTGTCTCTCTCGAAAGCCTGAACAAGCGCATAAATTCGAAATCGAAGTAGGTGTCGATCACCTTTTCGTAGTACAGGGGAACCCTGTTCCTGTCAGTCCGTGCCGAAACAATCGAGGCGAGGGCGATGATGTCGTCGAGCTCATCGTCGCTCTCGTCTTCGATGAGCGCTACTGCAGCGGCCAGTAAATTCTGACGGGGCATCGTCATCTTGATCTCGCGAAGGTATCCAGGTACGTGGTCGATGAAATGTCTATGAAAGCGATCGCAGCACGAAATAAGACGATATAAAATGCAGACATGTTTCATTAGATGCTGCACGCACTTTGTAATGTAAAGAAACATACATGAAAAATATTTTTGTAAAAAAAAGTAATATAAAACTAACGCAAATATCCAAGCGCTAGCAGACAAAATTCCATGGCGACGCAGCCAGACGGCAAAATCAGACGACGTCTTGCGCATCCGTTTTATCGGTACTCCGGAAGTCGATCACAGCGCCAGTCCTAACGCGGTGGCTGCACTGGTTCTGCGCCGCCGCTGCACGACTCCTGCACTCCTCTGAACTCGGACAGAACTAGTTCAGAACTTTCTAGCCGAATCGAACAGACCTATCGTGTTTGCTTCCCACACGATGAGCCAGGGTTCAATTCCTGGGAGAGAAGTGTCTTTTATTTATTCTTCCTACTTGTCATTCTCGCAAGTTCGAGAACTTTCTCGTTTCACCCAGTTAAGAATGTTCTACGCCCCGAACGTTCTAGGCCGGATGTTCCAGAAACCCACGCCGGTACAAAAGGCGCTCCGCGTGGCGAGCCAGGACCATTTTCGCCCCAGCGCTCGACCCTGCTGTCTCGCCGACTTCGACGCTCGCGACGCTTTGTTATTATTTTCTATTCCCTTTTTGTTTTGGGCACAAGTTCGACACATTCAACGTTTATTTCTTCCTGTTTATTTATTGTTATTCTGGTCACCACTTGTGACATTCTGGTGGAGGCGCGGGGTACCGCATGTCCGTGCAGCGCACCCCTCCGAGTTCCCGCAGCACGAGTCCCAACCCAAGCTCCCGAGGACCCAACGAAGACACCACCGAGACCCGAGTAAGTCGCCGCATCCAGGGCCTAGACCCGGAATACGGACTGCTGCCAACCAAGACCAAGCAAACAAGGAGGACGACGATGGCCAACCAGTCGGACACCCGGCCGCTCCTGCCGTCGTTTACCTGCCCGTCGTACCGCGGACGGTTGCTTCATTCCAAGGCAAGCAGTACGAAGACTTCGAAGACTGGATTGACCAGTATGAACGCGCTGCCCGCCACAATTTCTGGACCGACGAGCAGTGCCTGCACAATGACTATTTTTCGCTTGAGGGGACCGCCAAGCACTGGTTCGAGAATCATGAGTCCTCCCTAACGTCGTGGGACATTTTCAAGACCGATCTCAAGGCTAAAATCACCACCGCCGAGAGAGAGCCAAGGACCTACTGCGAACCAGAACTCAGGGCCCCAACGAGAGCGTCACCGGCTTCATAGGGGACGTCCTCCTCCTGAGCGCCCGCGCCGACCCTCGGGCTACAGAAGAAAAGAAGCTACGAATCCTCATGCGGGGCGTGAGAGAAAACATCTTTGGTGGCCTTGTCCGCAGCCCTCCGACAACTGTCGAAGATTTTGTTGCCGAGGCAACGAACATCGAGCGTACCCTGCAAGCCCGAGCCAAGCCACTACAACCGACTCGCCGACACGCCTGTTGCTTCGACGCTGGCATCTTCCCGAATCGACGAGGGCCGCATCCGCCCTAACAACCTCCGTGAAATTGTCCGGGACATCGTCCAGGAAGAGCTCAGGAAAATTCTACCCGACACTGATCGCCCCGCCTCGATCTCCATCGCCGAGGTCGTGCGGGAAGGGGTGCAGAGAGTCATCCAACCAGAGGCTCTTATCAGCGTGGCAGTCCCCGAAGAACCCACGCTAACTTAGCCGCAGTGGCCCGACGGCCACCGCGTCCTACTCGCGCCTATGTCGCGCCGCCCCGACGTCAGTCTCCTGCGCCGCAGCACGACCGACGCTACGACGACCAAGTCCAGTACGCCTGCACGGAGCCCCGCGTACCCCGGAAGACCGACGTGTGGCGAACGCCCGACCGACGCCTTCTGTGCTTCCACTGCGGGGAAGCAGACCACACTTACCGCCGATGCCCATACCGACGACTCGGGCTGCGCGGGTTCCACCCGAACGACCCGCGCCCTCGTTATGGTGAACGACCTCGGGAGATAGACGAGTACCTGCGACGACCTCAGTCCCCCGAGCCCGCGTCCCGCCGGGAGTTCCGGTCGCCATCGCCACGACGTCCAGCTTCGCCGATGCACCGACCCCGACGTGAAAGCCTGTCACCCCTCGCTCCTCGCCGGGAAAACGAGGTGCGGCAACCCCTGGAGGTGGAGTTGCCGAAAACGACCGACGCCAAGATCCTCCACGAACGTCAAAGGACCCCCCCCCCCCCCCAACTCGAGCGCTACCAGAGACCAAAACGACACCCCTGCAACGGTGCTCAATAATCTAAACGTCGTCATCGACGGCCACGACGCATCAGCACTCGTGGACACCGGAGCCGACTACTCAGTCTTGAGTGGGACGTTCTCCTGCCGCCTTCGCAAAGTCATGACGCCATAGAATGGACCCGAAATACGAACCGCAGGAGGACATCTCATCACGCCCGTCGGAAGGTGCACTGCTCGCGTCGAGATTCACGGCGAGACGTGTCCGGTAAAGTTCGTCGTTCTACAAGACTGTTCCAGAGATGTCATTCTTGGCATGGACTTTCTGTGTGAATACGGCGCCGTGATCGACCTGGGTGAGAACAGACTGACGCTGCGGAAGCCTGTTCCGCCTTCAGAGAAACCCCAAACAGCGTCAGCCGCCGTACGAGTCGCCACCGACCACGTGAACCTGCCGCCGCGATCAAGTGTTGTCGTACCCGTCGTGGCCGACACAGCTACCTGCAGTGAAGTTGTCCTGGAAGGCAACCTTCAATTTCTCCTGGGAAGAGGAATAGGTGTCGCACGAGGAGTAGCTGAACTTCAGGATGGGCGGACTGTGGACCTCGTGACGAACTTCCGAAATGAAACGCAACACCTCACGAAAGGTGCAGCCGTGGGCCACGTCGAGGAACTTCGAAACGCCGCCGAAATCGCCACGATTACTGCCGAAACCTCGCCGCCTCAGCAAGACAGTACGTCGGCAGCGCAGCTCGACATTGACCCTAAGCTTCCGAGCCCGAAACGACGGCAGCTGCTTAACCTCCTCACCGAATACCGTGACTGCTTTGCGACGTCGTCGAAGGTACGCCAAACCGCCGTTGCGAAGCACCGCATCGTTACTGAGGACGACGCGCGCCCTGTGCATCGATCGCCGTACAGAGTCTCCGTTAAAGAAAGAGAGGTAATTCAGGAGCAAGTTCAAGAGATGCTGAGAGACGACATAATCCA